CTCCTATAAGGTCAGACAGCTAAGTTTATCTTCCTCATTATTCAAGCAAGCTAAAGCAGGCTAGAAAGCAAAGTTATTATTTTTTTTAGAATAAGAGGCCGTCTAAAGAATAGCAGAGAATTCCAAACAGTAGTTTTACAGAATAGGGGTTTTCCTTCACACCACAAGGGAAAACAGTTTGGAGGCAAATTTTTTCCCTGCTGCTGACCTTTTTTTCAAGTTCTGAGTAACTTTTTGGCAAACATTCAAGATCTAATGTACCTTCTTCAAGAAACCAAGGGTTATGTTCTATAATAACATGCAAAAATTATAAGAGATTACCTTCTGAAACTTTAATTTCTTAGGATGCAAACCAAAAGCCTTCAATAAAGTTTCTTACTTTTTTAAAGCCGAATCCTGCCCCATTAGCCTGGCTAAAGAAAACGCTCCCACCCTATATACAGATAGCGAATTCTGCAGCTGAATGTGGGCTTTTGTGTGCTGTGAAATATTTCCCCACCTATACAGTGAATCCTTTCCCACCTTTCTAGTGAATCTTCATTTTTATCACTCTAGGCCAAGTCTTCTCTTCCAGATTTCCTGTTATGTAAATGTTTGTTCCCCCCACGTCCCGTGTGGTTCAGGGTTCAGGATCTGGAAGAGGTCCACATGCAAATGAAAGAGACAAGAGAAGAAATAATAATTTGGAAATATTGGGGGGCCAGACGGGCAAGTCCAACTCAAGGGGAAGGACTTCCACTGGTGCTCAGGCTGCACCAACCTTTTATTGGTTTGGGATACACCCATAGCCCTTAGGCAGGCAATTTCCAGTAACAGGCAAACTAGCCCCTTAGCAAGGATTTACATAATAGTAAATGGGGAAGTTGATTCAGCTACCATTGTCTGGACTAACAGTGGGTGCATAGCTCTGACCTTTGCCAGGGCTTCAAGGATCACCAGCCTTCCAGGTTCCTTGTCCACACTCCTCTGATAGAAAAAATAATGGATGACTTCCCACATGCAAGTACCCAGAATACTTTTTAAAAAGGACATATAGGCATGAGTGGGGGGGTGGGGGTGTCTGGGAGGTAATGGGGGGATAAGGACACATGTGTAATACCTTAATCAATAAAAAAATTTTTTTTTTTATAAAAAGGACATATAGGCCCCTGGCCAGCTTGGCTCGGTGGATAGAGCGTCGGCCTGGGGACTGGAGGGTTCCAGGGCTGAGGGGCTCCACCTGAGACCTGTCCTATAGGAACAGAAAGTGAGCTACGGCCCTAACCGGTTTGGCTCAGTGGACAGAGCGTCAGCCTGCGGACTCAAGGGTCCCAGGTTCGATTCCAGTCAAGAGCATGTAACTTGGTTGTGGGCACATCCCCAGTAGGGAGTGTGCAGGAGGCGGCTGATCGATGTTTCTAACTCTCCATCCCTCTCCCTTCCTCTCTGTAAACAATAAATAAAATATTTATTTTTTAAAAAAGGACATATAGGATCTGACTGCCTCCCATTTACCTGCCTTTTATTTTGAATAATAATAACTCAACCTTGAATGACATCTAAGGCTATGGTCTTGCCCCATCCCCAGTGGTCCACTCTGTTCAGCAAGACATATGCTGACACTGAGACTTCCTAGGAATGAGCCTTCCTAGCACTGTGGGACTCCATTATCCAACCAAAGTTTGGTCATCAGTGCATCCTTTGGGTTGATTTATGACCAAAAGGGGGATGTGTGGGAGAGAAAGGGCCATATGCTGACCTGACTAACTCAGGAAGGCCTGCATGACAACCTTCAAGAGACCTCAGATAACTACAAAGCGTTACCAGGACACCACCACCCCCCTCCCCTGTTTGGCTCGGTCTGCCCATCGCTGTGTCCAATAATGAAGGCAGGGTTGAATTATATTAGGTATTTATTGAGAAGGCTGCCAGGTGGAGTTGCTAGGAACATCCACAAACAGAAACAGAAATCCAGGATGCGGCCCAAAAGGTTACCTATAATTGTGCACTGGTTAGACGGAAAAGAGAACATGGGATGTGGCTCATCCAAGAAGACAGGGCGCTTACAAGCATCAAACCCTGCCTCCCAGCAAGGTACAAGGGACAGGATTATAAAGGGGAAGGGGCTGGGGTGAGACATGCAGGCCTGGGGGTCCACACATGTCAGTTATTATAGTCATCAGGTGATGAGATGATGCTTTTATACCTGGTGGGTTGGCCTGACTATGCTTGTCGGTTTTGCTTGCTGCCTTCACAGATGAGTCACCTCTTCAATTGCTTTACACAGGCCTTGAAAAGGAAACTTTAAGAAAAACTTAAACCCCTATTCACATGAGTGTCTGTGTTCTAAGATTTAAAATAATATGATTACTTTTGAGATTAATTTAGCTGCTCTATCTATCCTATATAATAAAATGTTAATATGCAAATTGTCCCCTCAGGCGGGAGCTCAACCAACCAGGAACTCAACCGGGAGCTCAATTGCTCGCTATGACGTGCGCTGACCACCAAAGGGCGGCACAGAACAAAGAGAGGTCCCGGCCGGCAGTCACTAGGAGCCCTACCCATGCATGAATTTTGTGCATTAGGCCTCTAGTTAGATTATAAGTCCATCCTATCAAAAGGATGAACTAAAATTAAAACTGCCATTGTGGTCTCAGATGTAAAGAAGAGAAAACTATGGGACTTCCTGTTTCTCAAGGCCCCACCCATACGCTAGAGTGAAAGGAAGTCCTTTCTTCTAACTGCAGGCTCGCACTGAAAACCTTTCTGGCTGCAGCGTTCAGGAAGCTCTGGAGAGAAGATGTACTCCGAAGGGTTGAAGTGGTGTCTGGCTCTACAGCTTCTACTGCCTTATTGCTTCATGGAGACCAGCATCCAAGGTATTTTCCACAGATTGTCTGCCTATAATTGCGCACTGGTTGGATGGAAAAGAGGACATGGGATGTGACTCAACCTGAGTTCCATCTCTTTTCCCCAGGGGACATGGCAAAAATAGGACCCTAAGAAAGCAGGCCCCTCTTAGTCCCATGGTTTGTGGCCTGTGAGGTAGTTTTCAAGTTTTGAGTAAAAGGAAGCGTTGACAGCAGTGAGAGGGAACAAGCTGGTGGTTAGATAGGTGGGGTCAGACCGGACCTGCACAGTGTTCAGCGACCTTGGTACTTGAGTTCTGGCTAGGAAAGGATTCAGAGCCAAGACTCAAATTATAAGAGGGCATTTATTTAGAAAATCACAGAGGTAGGGGAAGTAGTTTGTAGAAGAAATGGGCTTAGGAAACATGATAAAGAGGTAAATGAAGAGATGAAGGGCCCTCGGAGCTTGGGAGTCAGGAAAGTAATGCCTGGGAGGAGGAGAGAGGGAAGGGAAAGGTGAGGGTGTACTTGGAGGAGAGGGCACTGGGTTCTCCATCCTAAGGGTTTTAAGGGTAGAGATTTTGGGGGAGGTTCCAGGGGAAGATTTCTCCCCTCCCCCTATTTATTTATTTATTTATTTATTTATCTTTATTGTTCAGATTATTACAGATGTCCCTCTTTTCCGACCCCATAGCTCCCCTCCACCTGGTTCCCACCCCACCCCAGGCCCTCACCACCCCGAGTCCATAGGTACTGCATACATGCATATAAGATCTTTGTTCAATCTCTTCCTGCTCCCTCCCCCCCCCCCT